CATGCCAAGGGCGCTTATTTTCGCCGTCCGTTTCGTACCAGAGGTACTATCACAACACGAAGAGATCCTCTAAATCTCTTCCATTCTTATAGGCCTACAGGGAGGAGGCGAAACTAAGAAATTGCTCTCGGGTATCACCCTAATATCACCCTACAAAAACACCAATTATGCGGTAAAATGTAATCAAATATAAGTGGATATAAGGACCTCAGACAAGAGGGTTCTCGGTTTTCAGATCACGAAATCTTGAGTGATTGAAAGTCTTCTGAAGCTAGATTATGTAGCCTAGGCAGAGGAAGCGGGGTAAAACAAATTTCCATCAATCCCGGTACTTGCAGCATGGCCATCCACGTGACTAATAAAGCAGAGCATGTGGTGTTATCCCCCTTCCTCCAAGCTGTGGTGAATTGATTTTATTCGAATCAGAACCACCCTTTCGAATCTCACCATATTATTCCAGAGCTTAAAACTCCCAACCATAGCAAATTCTTTAAGCATCACAATCTCAGTGATAGCTGTTGTTGTAACATAAATCCAGTGAGCAAAATCAATCTAAATAATTAGACACTCTAAAGAATGTAGTATATATTTATTTTCAGAATTAAGTTTATTAATATTATATACTGTCTTGAGAACTTTATAAACTAGTTTTATAACTTTTAAATCACCTAGAAGCTCTTTTTCTTTAATAAGCAGATATAATAATAAAGAATTTTTTTTAATATATCCGCTACAGTAAGATAACTATTAATCAGTACCTATATTAGTAATATTTTAGAAAAACTGGAGTTAGTGTCTATTCGCTTTGCCTTAACAGATTATATTTAGGTATTTATTAGTGGTCCATCACGAATATCAGGATTAGCACCGTGTTTAAGAAGCGCCTGAACCATCGCATAGTCACCATACTCCGCTGACCATGATAACAAGGGAAAAGTTCCATATAGAGGCATGGTATCAAGGCCTTCTTTCCTCGGATTGGCGTATCAATTTATCATCAAATGGTTGGACTTCCAATGATATCGGTTTGCATTGGCTTCGTGAACACTTTATTCCTTCCACCAAGGACCGGCGGATTGGGCGATATAGCCTCTTAATTCTTGACGGGCACGACTCCCATTTGACTGCGGTATTTGACGATATATGTAGTCAAAATGGCGTTATTCCTATCTGCATGCCTCCGTAATCTTTACACCTTTGTCAAACACTTGACGTTGCTTGCTTTGCACTGTTGAAGCGAGCGTACGGAAGCTTGGTGGAACGGCTGATCCGCCAGGGCATCCACCATATTGATAAGGTTGATTTCTTGGATACGTACTCAGAAGCACGTTCTCTTGCCTTCAAAAAATCAACCATTTGCGACGCCTTTAAGGCTTCGGGATTGGTTCCATTCCAGCCGGGCGAGGTTCTTGATAAACTGGTTATACAGCTCCGTAAGTCTACTCCAACCGGCAGTATCACCACCAGGTCAACGGTACCAAAAACGCCCAAGAATACGAAGCAGTTGCGGAGGCATGAAACTACATTTGAAAGCCTTCTTCGTGAACGTACAATCAGCCCGTCCTCGCAGATGAAAGCAGCGTTATCCTATATTGTAAACGGATGTGAAGTCGCCTTCAACCGGGCTGCTTTGCTTGAGCAGGAAGTTGATGAATTACGAACTGGATTGGAGAGGCAAAACACCAAGAACAAGGGGTCTCATTGCCAAATGGCCGGTCTGAACGGCCCCACCGTTGACGAGGCCAAAAACGCGTTTAAAAGAATTTGTGAAGCTGAGGAAGTTGGTGGAAGTCAGCTTGAAGGATCAGCTACCGGCGAGAAACAATCTCGCCGCCGGGCACCACCTCGCTGCAGCGAGCGTAATACAATTGGGCATATAAGAACAAGGTGTCCTACACGTTAAAACACCAAATAAACACGTTATTTTATTAATATATGGGGTATATAAGCTTCATCTTTTCATGGAAGGCTGTTTGGGTGGGCGCGGGTGCCCACCCGCTTGCCGTGCCCACTCGCTTACCGATTACGTTATTTAAATTAAGTTGGATGCTGACTAAGAGCCGCACCAGCCACAAGAAGAGCTTGGCAAATTTTTCAAGATTTTTCTCTATTCATCCTTTTAAGTGTTTGTTGCGTTTGCAGACTTAGTGGCCCGTGCTATCCGTGCCTATTTCGGCTAATATTAAGAACTCCAGTCCAGAGGCAGATGCTTTGATTTCCAAGGCTGACCAGCCCACCATTGGTCGAAGCCGCTGAACTTCTTGCTCTTGTCTGGGCACAATCTAGTCCTGGTTTCACCCGCTCAAGATGCTCGATCACGGCTAAAAATATATATAACTAATAATATGCGCGGTTTCGCCATTCATGCAGATTGGATATATCAGGTGGGCTTTTAAGAGAGAAAAAAAAGGCAATATTAGGCGAGACTTAGCGAATGGAAGACATGTCTATCCTCGAGGCTCCGGGCGCTTTTGAATGTGACCAATACAGCACAACAGTCTATTTGCTCGCCCAGCCAGTTCTTTACGAAGGTTTAGCGCTTTCTGTGCTATCGCAGTCGACAGACAGATGCTTTGACCTCCCAGGGCTATCAAACTTCACCGCTAGGTGAAGCCGGATCAACTCGGCGCCTAAGTTTGACCACCCACAGCCGACTACTTTTACCCTTTTTTTTATTCTTTGACTTCTTTTACTTTGAGTCGTGCTCAGGCCACAGGATTCTTGGACGCCCTAATCACCATCCATGAGCCGTGCTTGGATCCGAAACGAACGAGCGATACGCTTTCTTGCTTCACTGCACAAGTGGGGACATGTTGCAATCATTGTTAGGCTACCTGATGAATCTTCCATGTCTTTGTCCGGATATATAAGACGCCAGACGACATGTGAAGAATGACAAGACAGACTCCATTGCACAGCCATCTGTCTGCTCTAAGTAAGTGTTCAAGTCCTGCTCCTGTCGCGATGCTGACAATTCTCTTTAAGCAGCATCCATCCAACACTCTCGTGACACAAGTTCTCCTCGTATTATCATGCCCTCTAAGACCCAGAAGTCGCTTGAGGCTCTCATGGCCTACATCAAGCAGTCGAAAAGCCGCCGCACTACGATTTTGCGTGGGCAAGGTGAGCCTGGTCACCGGGCTGCCCCAGCGCGCGGGGGAAACCATGATGCGAGAATCGGAAGCCGCATTGATACTGGAGAAATCGTCAAGAAAGCTGGCAAGGAGTATCGACGGTACAAATTCCAGCTCAATTCGAACGCGGAAGATTCCACGCTCAAGAAAAAGGCTGCTCAAGATTCCCACAAAGTTTATTCGACTGCAGATGTGGAGATTAAAGAGGCTAGGACCCCGGAGGAAGAAGAGCAGGCGATGCGGGATTTTGAAGAGGAAATGTCAAAGAACTTAAGGGAATAGGCACGGTCATGTCATATAGCTCACACTTAGCCCACTGTACATTTCAATCTCCATTATTTCATGGTCTTGTCTGAGGTGCGAAGGGGCGCCTTAAGGATTCGAACTCAAGTTCTTGGTAGCACAGCGACCGAAACGGCGACCAAGACTTCCCAGCTCTGCGGGGGCGGAAAGACCTCCTTGTTTTTGCGTTCTCTCCGTCCCAGCAACCTTCAATAAGCCATACCACGTGTTCTTGGTAGGAACTTCCTCTCTGGCCAATGATTTCGGTGATCAGTAAAAGAGTCATCCCTGAGACAGTTGTTGTTGACATAATTCCCTCGTGACAGTTGGCGAATTAGCTGACGGAGCAGCAAGAGAAGGCAGACTGTTCAAGCCATTGGCCTCTTCAGGTTTTTGAAATGCTTATTCCAGAATCGAAAAATAGATGCGGTAATTTGATTAATCACTAAACCCTTAACTCGTCATAGTGGTTTCGGGTGGAAAAGGGTGGCGCCCGCCAGGCGGGATAATTTGGTGACAAATAAGCTATACTTAAAATGTCCTGGCGCCTTCCACCTGGTCACGTGTTGACTGTCTCAACTATCCCGACAGTCGGGGATGATCTGCATTGCTCTGCCTCACCTACGGTCGCAATCTTCCCTCCACATCACCAGCATTATTATCTCTCGGTTTGTGCAGCAAGAAGCATCCTCTGAATTTGTTTTATTCTTACCCTTGATGTTTCCAACCCTTTGTTCCAACACTTTGATGCCCGCGTGATCAAGTGCTACCTGATCTTCCAGGGACTTGCATTTCGTGAAAATGCGCCGACCCCCATCCGCGCGTCCTTGGTGTTACATTCAGAGTAAACTACCAAGCCTGAAACAACACTGCCACTCAATCTCTAAAGCTTCACCTTTATCCTACCATCACCGTCCCGAGAGCATGGACATAGGCTCTTCTCAGATAGGTATGCACGCCCATAGGAGCGCGATTCAGCATATTACTCATCGTGTCAGATTGGAACTCTAACGATGAGTTTTTTAAATTCACGCGTGGCCGCTTTATTGTTGATGAGGTAGAGAACCTTCGGAAGCGAGAGATTAGATTTGACATGAATAGCCTGGCAAGAGTCGCAGCAGAATCGGTGGGAGCTGCTAGATGCATCTCTATCGAGAAGTACCCTGACGGCATGTTCAACAAAGCGTTCCTCATGTCTATGGACGATGGCCGAGAAGTTATAGCCAAGGTTCCCAACCCGAATGCTGGCGTTCCGCACTTTACTACTGCCAGTGAAGTTGCCACGATGGATTTCGTAAGTTATCCTGAGCACCGTCATCATCGAGTTTTGCTAAGGCGTCTTGTTTGGCAGGCTAGGAAAATTCTTAACACACCAGCGCCTCGTGTACACATATGGAACTCGCGAGCCAAATCGCATCCTGTCGGGGCTGAATTTATTATCATGGATAAAATTGAAGGTGTTCCTCTGTCCCAAGTTTGGGACACAATGAAACTACCGCAAAAACTTCAAGTGCTTCTTGCTATGACACGCCTCCAGAAACAATGGCTAAGCGTTTCATTCTCGCATTACGGCAGCTTATATTACACGGAAGACGTGCAGCCACTACGAGGAAACCACTTCGTCAAGGATGGCAAGGCTGTAAGAGATTCGGAGTTTGCCATTGGCCCGGCTACAGGCCGGGATTGGTGTGACGCAGGCCGATCAAATTTGGACGTCGAGAAAGGGCCATGTACGTTATGGTTCGTTCTGCTCTTGTACAGTTGCTAATAAGTGTACAGGGACTTCTCTTACACAGTATCTGCAAGCAGTCGGGACGCGAGAGGTGAAGGCAATCCAGTCTCTAGAACCTCCGAAATCGACCGCCTTGTTCTGTGGGCCAAAGCTCTACCGACCAGACAGGGAAAAGAAACTTACTGCTTTAGCATGGTACCGACAAGTCATTGATGCCCTTATCCCAAAGGATACAGCAATTACCAGACCCTGCCTCTGGCATAATGATTTGCATGATGACAACGTCTTTGTAGACCCGTATAATCCCGAAAAGATCACGGGTATTATTGACTGGCAGTCTTGTCACATCTCGCCCCTCTTTAACCATAACCCCGATCCAGCCTTCCTTGATTGGGGTGGCCTTGAGCCTGAAACGCTTGATTTGGCACCACGGCCGAATCTCTCCGGGCTTTCGCCTGAAGAACAGTCCGCGGCTGTGCATGAGTATACCATCCAAAACGTGTTCATTGGATGGCGGAAACTTATGCATGCCAAAAGCCCAGACCTATACAAAGTAGTCGAATTTCGAAAGACGGCAGCTTATGGGCTGATATTTCTTGCCCACCGAATGTTCGAATACGGCGAGGCGCACTTCCAATCGCTTCTGGTTGACCTGCAAGACACGTGGACGGATTTACCTGCCATTACCAGCAGCACACCATTCCCGTTCGACTTTTCAGAAGCAGACTTTGAGCGTATTAAACAGGATAGCGATGGTGCAGTGGCAGGAACCGATCTTGTTGCGGAGGTCAAGGAGAAATTGGGCGATTTGTGGCCGGACAAAGGCTTTATCGAGCGGGAGCGATATGAAGAGTGCAAAGCTGCCCTCCACGAAGTTAAAGACCTGATATTGGAGCAATTGGCTGAAACTGACGAGGAAAAGGCTGAGTACGAGCGCTGTTGGCCATTTGACTGATTCGCTATTGTATTAAGGAAATGGTATGATTATGGCTCGCCTTTCCCCTATTTTGATGATCTTGAATATGGAATAGCCACCAAGAGAGGAAGACAAGCCGATAGGAATATGATATTCCGATCATGAACACATGACCTACACAGCATAAGGGAATCGCCTCGCATCTTTCGTTCCCAGAAGCGGACCAGAAGAGGCCTTTCTTCTAAGTTGCTCTCGAGCGAAGAATCCAGCGGCGCAAAAGTCTGTCATGTGTCATATTCTCAATCGGCCCAGAGCGAGATCAGCTGCAAAAAGCACTCTAGATTAGAGGCTCGTGATAGCAGACGATCATCCGCCACCGCGTCTAGCATATTCGCTTCATAAGTATCACATCAATCAAAGCGACCCCGGAGGATTCTAGGTCGGAGCCCAGTTACACTAGGACAGCATTCCCCGGATTCTATAGCCGCGGAGGACATGCGGATAGACCGCACTTGTCTACGGGCATGCTCCACAGCTTGGCACCCTGCTATGCCGTTTGGGGAGAATCTCGTTGGCACCAACGAGATTCTCCCCAAACGGCATAGCGGATGAGAAATGTCTTACTTTTACTTGTCATATGTATGAATGAGTGTTTCAATTGCGTAGCTCTCCATAACGACACAATTCATTAAGTCTCCACCTGTCATAACATTAAATCTGTTGTACAGAATTGCGGAGTTCACCGAAACTACCAATAAAGTAGTCTAATTTCCTGAAGTTGTACCTGTATTCAAAAGTTAAGTTCCACTATACAAGCGCTTTAATCGGACTTTCTCATTGCATTCGCCCATTAAGAACCGGTCGTAATGCCGATAGACTAGTTAAGCATCAGTTTACCATGATTCTGCTCGATTTTAATCTCATGTCAGTCCTAGAGTGCGGGTCTCTTGTTCAAAGTTCCAATCAAGTTTTGTGTCTGTCTTATGGAAGAGACAGAAGGCATTTTGATTACTGGTTTCTTCAATGAAGCTCTGCTGTTTGTGACGGAGCGATGAAGAAATGAGTTTACTGCAGAGTGTGCGAGATCTACCTACGTGAGCGGGAAACACGTTGTGCTGACTGCCAGGGCGCCCTGTCGGCCTGTCAGTATGTAATGTCTCAAATTGCATGCCCATTGCACCCGTAATTATATTCATCACCTGGGGTTTCGCGGACTACGTACTTTTGGAATGAAACTTTATACAAGCCCTTATTCCAGGGTTTACGAATAGTTGTTCAAGCGATTTTCAAAGAACGAAGCGGGCGATTCATACGTGCTGCTTTGATGAGGAAGCCTGAGCCTCGGCACCTTACGAGAAATCAAAAATTTTGGGATCTGGGGGAAGCATGGTCGCAAGACTGAAACTGAAAGAAATTGACGGAAGGGCATTACCAGGCGTGGAGCCTGCGGCTTAATTTGGCTCAACACGGGGAAACTCACTAGGTCCAGACACAATAAGGACTGACAGATTGGAAGCTCTTTCTTGATCTTTTGGATGGTTACCTGGCCACAATAGCAATTCATTAATAGCAATGGATTAGAATAGTAAAGTGATGGTACATACATGGTATTGAGTGCTATGAAATGGCTGTTCACTGCTGTGGTTACCATGCCCCATTTTAGTGTTGTGTTGTGCTTTTATCACCTCAGCGGCTTGATTCGACTGATCAGTAGATCATTTATTATACCTTCAGCCAACAAGAACGGAGAAGATGCCAGTATCACTTAAATAGGACTAAGTATAGGTTGCAACACAAAGTTTAAGCTGCCTCAAGTGGCCGCCTGAGCGAGAAGGTGATTAGTCTCAAGTCGCATCTCACCAATCATCATTATGCACCCAATTTACGTGGGCACTGGCACATCTTACGCATTTTAGAGCCGTAAGAATTCCTGGTATTGATGAGAGACTTAATGAAACTCGCTTCTCATCGATGCCAACATCTTGCGGCGCTATATAAAGGCAGATCGTTGGCCTGCAAACGAGATTCATTGCGACACTCAAGCCTGCTTCCTGCCACTGACTTGCTCTGATTGATTTCACTCCATTTTAGAAAGAAACGACCACTAAGATGTCGCGTACTTTCTCTACAAATGCCCGATCTTTACTCCAAATCATTTGGAAAAATACTGAGCGAGTTGCAAAGTATGATGAGATGATCACGAAATCAGTTGAGGACAATCCAAAGCTCAAGGGTAAAGCTGAAAAAATCGAAGTCGCGTATGAAACCTAACCTTCCTCCCCATAAAACAATAGCTGACTCTCTTATATGGCAGTGGCCGAGAGCATCCATCCCAGAAAGACCCTAAGCTTCGTGTCTCTGGGCAAGTTTTCACCAAAGACGGAGTCCGCATTACATCCGGTCATTGGTACCATGATGGAGAGGTGAAATTTTCGAAGGACGAATATAATGAATAAGATTGGAGTCAGAAGGGGACTTACAGATGTTGAAAGTCTGAAGTTTGTACTGCGATGATTATTGTTTGTAGCTAGTTACTCAGAAATCAGTCGCTCTTTTGTGAATATTAGATTTATTTTCAGCTACAAAGGTCACGCTCGCTTATGCCAAGATGCGGAGTGATGAGGCGCCCCACTTGACCCATTTACAGTGTTCCTTACATACGGCCCGTGCTTAACTAAGAATTCTATTAAAATCTCAACCACCCCGGGACTGCTTTCCAGGATTTCCCCACACATCAACCAAAATGACGGCACTATTGAGCTCGCTGAGGGGATCACTCCATGGGTTTCTCAAGTCTAGCCCGTGGAAAACACCGAACACACCGACAAAAATTCTATCGGCCGCTGGACTAGTTGAAGAAGAGTGCTCTCCTTGTTATGATCCGAAGCATTTCTACCCTGCCCGCCTATACGAAGTTCTCAACAACAGATATCAGATTACCGCGAAACTTGGCTGGGGCTCCAGTTCGACTGTATGGTTAGCTCGTGATTTAGAACAGTAGGTCTAAAGCCTTCTTTTAAGGCAGTTGACTGATGTAGTAGGTGGCGTTGGTGCCCGACACGATACGTTGCAGTCAAAATCAAGGCGAACAACTACGCTACGACAAAAGACGCCGAAAGAGATCTACGCCTTGTCGAACATATTAGTCATACGAACCCACGCCATGTAGGCTACAATTTTGTCAGCACGTTGCTCGACTCTTTTACGTTGCCCGGCCCTCATGGTACTCATGCCTGCATGGTGTTCGATACTTTGTGTGAGCCTCTGTGGATGTTAAGGCGACGATTCGATGGGAATGTGCTTCCATTGGATGTAATGAAGCCTATCGCAAGAATGCTAATAGAAGGTCTTTGCTATCTTCACTCCCAGTGCCACATCGTTCATACAGGTATATCCTTTGTTGATATCAAAGCGCAAATTACTCTACTAATCGGTCGACAAGATCTGAAATCCGACAATATTCTGATGTCTCTTCGAGACCCGTCTGTACTCGAAAATGTCACTTGGGATGAGGTGTACGAACCTCTGCCTCAGAAACATCTTGATGATCGAATAATATACCTCTCTCGAAACTATTTTGGCTTGGAGGTTGGGAACCTAGGGAGGCCAGTTATCACTGATTTTGGACTGGCCGTCGATGGGTCTCGGATCCATAATCATGTCATTCAACCTGACGAATATCGAGCTCCTGAAGTTATTATTGGAGCAGGCTGGGATTACAGTGTCGACATCTGGAATTTAGGTGTCTTGGTATGTCTTATTCTGTCGTGCCGGGAAAATACGAGAAACTGACATCGGAATAGATCATCGATCTAGTGCATGGGAGTGGTCCTTTTGATGCGCTACAATCGGATACCTCCGCGTTCTCCAATGAAAAACATCTGGCCCGCATAATTTCAGTCCTTGGTCCTCCGCCCATGGATCTGCTCCATCAAGCAAAGGACGGTTTCCGTTACTTTAATGCGGAAGGTATACTCGATTTCAAGCATTATTGAAGACGTGTTAACTCTTGATTCAGGAAAATTTAAGTACCCTGAGTTAATTCCAGAGAGCGAAGGAATCGACAGCATCATTTCCAACATCGAAGACCGTGACAAACATGTTTTTCTTAATTTGTTGAAGCGGATGCTACAGTGGCGACCAAGGGAGCGAGGCAGCATGAAAGATTTACTCTTGGATCCTTGGTTTCAGGAATAGTATAGAATCACCATCTATCATTCATTCGTAATCAGATTTCTTCATGATAGCTGCGCGCCAATTGACGGGTAACATCCCACGCAAGGAACTAATCTGATCGCTTTTACTTTGTTTAATGTTGGGGTTTCGGATACTATCCTATTGTCTCTGTAGATATCTTCTTCCATTCCCTGGAAATATCAGAAAACTGGTCTGTAAATTCACCACAATCCACTCTATGATGGATCGGGCCAAAGGTGGTCCGCTCGGTGGTTATTTTCGCTATATTGAGTGGGGTTTCTAGCATCATATTATTGGGTAGCTTAGCCGAGGTTGTATTCTCTAATACCGGTGGAGCCGTTATTGCCTCAAGGCTGAATTATTCGGAGGAGCTTTATCCGGGCAACGCATCAACGGTATGAGGTAACGTAATCGGTAAGCGAGTGGGAGCGTGAATCAAAATGGGCATATTTCTCGAAACGCTACTTGGATAATGAAATCGAATTTGAAGGCATTATTAGCATGTGATATTGTGAGGTTGATGTGCGATTTCCACATTTATATTTCGTAAATCACGGACATGACACTCAAATAATGGCAGAATCCCATACGCTGAACTCACTTGAGGTCGCTGCATTTGACGCATAAGATTTTGCGTGATATATCACGTGATTATACCCCGCCTCACCAAGACTGCAGTCAACTCGACAAAATCTTCATTCAACAAAAATCTGTTATTGCTCATTGTCGGCCGTCGCAGTTTTACTGAATACTCGGTTCTCAAAGCATGCGATATATGTATCAAATATTCCAGTCGCATGAAAATATGTCACATGAAAATCAGTCTTCGACTTACTCAAGCTCCTCTATACCACCTAATGTGGCGAGTACTATTCATCCACATTTAAATGAAAGGCTCAATAGCTTTGACAACATTAGCGCTGAGGAAGATGTGCTTCAATTCATTGGATCGTCCAATGGACACTGTACCGCCGCGAGATCAATCAGCGCTAAGGCTCGTGCCACTCAGTGTTTCGGCGATATGAGCGACCATACTTTTCAGCAAGTTTCCCATGACCGAACTCATGTGTCTCGGAAGGATATCAAACCACTATCAGATTCAACAGTTACCGAGAAAGTCGGAGGGGGTCAAAGACTTGGCAGGATACCTTGATCAAATTGAAGAATGAACGTAAGGATTCTGTGAGGAAACGTTAATTAAATATCGGTATTCTAACAATTCATTTAAGCTTAGAATTTTGAGTGAAATACAATGCACTTTTCAAAAGTGAGTGATCGACAGTTTTATATTGCAAATATATTCTAACAACAAATACAGGGAAACTTTCAAATATCAATCATCTCCTTCACTACTCTATAAAATTCTCAAGTACCTCTCGATTGGCTTCCTTGTCAACTTTCTGTCCTTTCACTTAATTCCTCATTTCATTTACAAAGAATTTCATGTGTTGGCTTCGCTTTCCAAATAAACCATCAATACAGTCTGTATATAGGAAAATTAGTTATTATCGTTCTCCTCAAATTTGAACGACAATCTGGAATTATCACCTGGTGCTGAAGCCAAGCCGCCGGGTAGAGTTTCGAAGCTACTTTTATACCTATTATCTCAAATATCGAATCGTATCCTCGGACATGGATACCATTAACTGCGCAGAAACACCCTTAGACATTGCTCTGAGAATTTATTATTGACTTGGAGTTACTGATAGTGCCAATTTAATCATTAATATTACCTCGCATAAACTCTAGTTTTGTCCCGTCTCGAGAGCCGGCTTTTAGTCTTATGTTGAAAATGATTGATGATTGTTTATTCTTCAAAGTAGAATTAGCTGTATCTTTATATAGGTTTTCTTAGCAGTTCAATAATCGGAGTTTAGTATCAGTA